CAGCAAACGAAAGAGAAAGCTGTTGCACATCCAAACTGCACAAATGCACGATACATCACAGTCCTCAACAGTTAAGAGTTTTTCTTTATGCACAAAAATATATTGGAGGTTGCAAACTAAATGTGTGCAGAAACCGGAATGATTAATGCAGCACACCACAACAATCAACTCCACAAAATCCCTCTCAGTACACACATAATGAACTTTTACTCCTCACTCCTTAAACTCCGCAGAGCCTACCATTCATCAACGCAGCTACTGTCTCTGGGGAGAAGCCTCAACGTACGGCTGTAGCAAAAGCATACAAGCTTTAAACACATGCGGGCGCACAAACACAGCCGCCGCTTTGAGAGACTGCCGCATACTCACATAAATATTAGCATTTTTATGACTCGAGTGTGATTTGATTCCTGGTGAGGTTCAGTGGTTTCTAATATAGTTTTTGGTTCCCACCAGTGGCACGTAGTGAATGCATATTGAGTGCATTGCTCCAGGTCAGCTCACATAAAAGTGTTTGCTAAAATGACTTTGTCACTTCAACATGTGCAGTCAACTTCTGCCGGCCTCCCGATCCGCCATAGAGATGCATGAAAAGTTTCATCCAAAGTAACCCTCCAAGGCCAATATCTGTCACTTTTAAAAGAACAGTAAGCTTTTGCTTCATGAAGAACCTAAAAGATACTTTAACATTTCCAATTTTGCTCCACTTGCACACAGCAATACTCGCAGTGCAGCCAGCTACATCTTTTCACTTCACTCTTCAAGCTTTGCTCCTCTCTGACCTTTTCCTCCTCTTCTTCTTCCTCCTGCAATCAGGCCACCACCCACACATTAAGACGCTGCTACTGGTTGAATTATTCGCAGTAATTGAGCACAGATGTGTCTGGGAGCTCAAATTCTAGCGGTGGTGCTGTCATTATGGTCAGATTAGTCATCATGCTTGGTTACAAATAACAGCCTGGCTCCCTGTCCCCACCTAAGGTGATTGGTAAAAGTGCATCAGGGCTGTTTTTGAAAACTGTACATAACTCTTGCCGCCTTCCAAACATATAATTTTGTCAAACTTGCCCATGGTGAAGCCTTTGGCAGCAGGAACATAGTTGTCAGTTCTTTAAATAATGTAAAAAAAAAAAAAAATTCACAATGCATCTGCAAGGTTGGAGCTGCTGCTACCCAGTAGCATCATGAAAATGTTTGATCTTCCCTGCATTGCACCTTTGACAGGTCCTTGCCGGCATTTAGAAACTCAAGGGAAAGAGGAAGGGAATGGTGGAGAAGAAGAAGTAAACCATGATGGCTGCTCGGTGAGGATGGAGAGGAAAAGCTGGTGATGCAGGAAAAGCTGCAGGGCGAGCTCAGGTGTCACTTGATATTTTGTTGACTGAATATGCAATCTTTGCTGCTGAAACAAAAATATTAACTAAAAAAAAAAAACAATCCAGATTTAGTTTAGAACGAATCTCTGCATATACTTCACAAGTCTTGACTCACTCACTCAAAATAAATAAATAAATAAATAAAAATAGGTAAAGATTCTGACACTTCAACTGGCATTTTCAGAAATTTACAACAGTACTAGTGAGCAAACACCAATTTGGGCACAAAGTGCACATCAGCAGTACAATCAAAACTATAGGGAGATGCATGTTTTTCTAATCTGCAGTTTAGACTTTTAATGTACCAAAATCGCATTGCAGGATGAAGATGCATCAAGAAGTACACTGACTGCATGAGAATAGGCAGGCTGCTGTTTTTATTTCTTCAGTCTTGGCAGTCATATTTTTTAGCCAAATACATTTACTAAGGAGGTAGCCGTAATGCTTTCTCTGTCACTGTTCATGCCCCTGAATCAATGTCCTTTTGTAATCCCTGAATATGTGAGTCTAGTGAGGTCTAAGTGCCTCATATTGATATTTTAGTCTTCAGCTCAGCTCACTAAAGTCAAAACCGCACTTATATCAGGGGCTAATAATACAGAGGATTTGCAGAAACTCTGAAAAATATCATGCGGTTTTTTGTGTTGCGGCTCCCTTCATTTGCTACCTGCTATGCTGCACCTTGAAAGAGAGCGAAGCCTTCTGTAAACCTTTACTTGACGCTTGCTGTGTAAATCATGTTTGGGGTGATCTATTAAGGATTTGAGATAAGAGCATCATTTCCTCTCTTTGCTTCCAGCTTCTCTCTGTTCTTTCCTCATTTCCTCGCAGGCCAGCAGGAATATTATCTGACAAAGACACAGTAAGCTCACCAATCATCTCCCTGCAAGTGTGGATATCTGCTAAACGCAGTTAAGGCATATGCGCTCTTTTAGCGAGCGTAAAATTAGAGAATGTGTGTGTTTGCCGAACCTAAAACAACGCATACATCACACGTGGCGATTAAAAAGAAGTTTAGAAGCAAGGCGGGCTAATGTGCAATGATCGTCCATCTTTATATCATTTCAATTCCTGGGAAGTGAATTTCAGTAAAGCCCATCAGAATTCAGCTCCTTTCTCATTTTTAATCTACAAAGAAAACATGAGGCTTGTGAAAAATGATTTGACATTCACATCACTTTCGAATAAGCTGCACTTTTTCCTCACTCTAAGTCATATTAAGGGTTTGTGTTTGTGGAAAGGTTTATATATATATATATACACACACACAATAGCAGGGAAGAGATGCCAATAATCTTGCAAAATATAACTTCCAGGAGAAAGCAATGAAACTGCACTGCAGCACATTGTGCGTTGTCGCTGTTTTTTTTTAACGCTGATGAGAATTTATGTCACCTCATGACTTGGTTCCAGTTTTTCCCACCATCAAACTTCCTCAACCCACTGTATCAATAATAAGCAGTTTCACTTCTTATTGAGCACACAGCTGAGGGAAAACCTAATTCTGCTGTCATTTAATAAATAATGATTTGGCCCAGAGACTAAAGCTGTTGTACTCCTTGTGGCGGCTTTGTAATGATGTGATTATCTGAATTACTATCCTGGTCTAGTTGCACTGAAAACAATTTGATTAACAAAAAAATGTCAGACAGCTGATCTAAACGTACATGTAATACAGCTTCTTACAAGAGCGCAACTTTCTGCGACGCATAATCAGATGCCGGCTATGTGATTAGCCAGGTGTGTGGGGGAGTGGGACAAAAAAAAAGGTAGAGCTTGGATTTCTCTCTCAACCGTGAAGTCAAAGAAAGAAAAAAAGATATATAGTTTTTAGAGACAGATCAAGAAAGCAGTGGGGTGCGGCTACAAGGAGACTGTGACAGCCGGCTCTTCGCTGCATCTTCAAGTGATGCCATTCTGAGCACATAAACTCTTTTGCCTTTGTCGGGCATACTGAGGCCTGAAGTCTTCAGGCGGAATTTATATCATAAAGAATGAGATCGTGTTCCCTTTGAATACCTCTCTGTACATATGCATGCACTGAAATAAGTCATTATTGAAAAAGCAGTGGCTAAAACTAAGAGGTGCACACACTTCCCTTCCTGTAAGTTTCATATTACAGTGATCCTGACCTCCTCACCATCGCTTACATAACAAATAAAATGTAAGAGTTTAAATGCAGTTACTGTGGAAGGTACAATCAAATGATGATATGGTTTGATCAGCCGTCCACTGTTGTATTGGCGCAATCAATGTAATCTGTGGCTGCCTCCTGACTTAGTTGCTAGCCATTAGTGTAGCCTTAGCCTTGAAAACACCTAATTTTTGCAAGACTGCATCAGCCACAGGCCTGTCAGTTAGACGGCCAGTGATAGCCGTAGCCTTGTGTCGTTAGCGAAATAAGTTCCAGTTGCACTGACATTAATGAGTGAATTATTTTCGGAGTAAACTGGGAAACTGGGAATGCTTGTGGAAGATGTCAACAATATCTGTTATCTCATCCTCAAACCGCAGCTCCGGTCTGCAGATGTGCTCATCTGTCAATGTCTGTAAACAATAGCTGTCAGTGTTGATTGGCTGTTACTTGTGACGTGTAACCAATCAGACGGAGCAGTGGGCGGGACGTTGCTGACACCACACCACAGAC